GATGTTCCAGGATGCAGCAGCCACGCTCTGCCTCTCTGGTGCAGCTCCTATGAAAAATGGGTGGCAGTACTAATGTGTGCTTAATGACCCGTGGTGCAGAAATGACTACGATGCAGGAATTAAATTTACAATCAACTTCCTTTTTTTCTTTTTTTCCTTCTTTTCTTTATTATTTTTTTTTTATCCCCTTGAAACCTTGAAACCAAAGTTCCTAATCAGAAAAGTCCATGTGAGTGCCTCTGTGCTCCCAGGCAGGGCAGGTGACTGCAGGCAGCCGCAGGATTAGAGCTGGGTGCTGTCACCGTGCCAGCCGTGACACGGGGCTGCTTCGGTGGCAGGGTAAATTGATGACACAATCTCAGGAGAGCTCACTAGTTGATGCCAGGCTTATTTTTGTAAGTGCAAACTAATGAAATTTAGAGTTTTAATAAAAAATAAAAAAAAAAAAAAAAGAAAAAGGGAGGGGGGGGAAGAAAAAAGTGGAAGCTACAATTTATAAATGGAATTCATAATGGAGCAGAGTGCTAACTGCATTAAGGAAACGAGTAGCTCAGGCTTTTACCCAGGAGAGCCCCCAGGGTTTTTTAGCAAGAGGCAGGGAGTCCCAGTTTGCCCCAGTGAAGCTCCTGGCCCCACACTGTCCATCTGTCCTGGGCTCAAACAGGGGGAAAGCACCATGAGGGGTTTGGGATGATGCTTGTCCTGGAGCACGTACTGACCTCTGCTAAAGATCATTTATCCCTTTCCCACTCCCACACCACTCAGCTGGGGTGGACCTTGCTTTTCATGTTCTGAAATCTAAAAGGTAACAACAAAATTGTCAAAAATACAGTGAAAGGGATGGAAATGTAGTGAAAGGGATGGAAATGTAACCATAAACCCACAGCAGAGGCATCCAGAAAATGAAGGTGAGTATCCAGGAGGGGATAAAAAGACATCTCCCAAAAGGAAGGGTGTGCACTTCAGAGCAAGCAGGAGGCTTTTTGTAACTTTTTATATTTTACAGACCTTCTGCTCTCTTCTCCTGTGCTTCACCACCTCTCCACTCACAGATTTGGCCCTAAATATTCTGAAGGATTAAAGAAGATGGAGGGGGCTGGTGTCAAGAGTGGGAATAGGCACATCCTCAGGCAAGGAGGATGGCTATGGCCAAATCTAGACAACTGCTGTGGTTTGGTTTTTTCCAACATGAACAATTCTGATCCTCTGAGCCTACAGCTCTGTGATTCAGGGATTCTGTGCTATGGAGTCAATCCTGAGCTGGATTCAAGCCAACACAACCTTGGAGCACACACCAAAGGCAGAAGATGAGGAGATGAGAGGAAACCTTCAGATCTCCAGCCACTTGTGCAGCGCCCCAAACAAAATCCTTCCTCTCTCTTGGCTTGGCATTCACAAAACCTCTGGAAATCCTCTGGGCACCAAAAGGCAAGTGAGATTCTACCCCAAATGTGATGTTTCCATGCAAGCCAAGTAAAAGCACTTCTGTGGGCCTGGGGAAAGGTTGCAGCAGCTTGAGCTGAACATGGGAAGTGGCTGCCAGAAGAAATGCTGAGGCTGTCAGACTCGTGACGGATTGTTCCTTCAGTCTTCCTGCATCCACTGCCATGGTGACCCTGGAATCTCTCCTGCCACTGGCAGTGGCTGGGCTGAGTTTCCCCTTCCACTGTGGCAGCTCTTTGGGCTGGTGACCTTTCTGGAAGGAAGGAACTTGTAGTGGATGAGCAGGGACAGGCACTGGGGGGTGTGAAGAAACACAGAAATGTTTTAGCATCCATTCCTATCCCTTGCCTAAGTAAGAAATGAAGCTGTGGAGAAAAGAGATAAAGAACACACCTTCGGAAGTGAGAAGAAGAACATTAATTGGATGTACAGCAGAGTCTGAGCAATACGAAAAACCAGGAAAGACTAATTTATGAGTACAGATTCTTTCTGGAGAGTATGACTTAAACTTGGGGAGAAAATCCATGTGCCTGGAATATTAAAATCAATAGTTTTAACCTATTTAGGAAGAACTGAGTGGGCAAAGAAGGCATAGGAGGGATAATAAATATCAGAAATGACATTGCTGCCTTCCAAAAACCATTAGAGACTGAAGAGAAAGTGACCTCAAATATAAATAAAAACAAAAAAAGGCATTTCTCCAGACCATCAACTCTCACTAGAAAACAGAGATTACTCACTTCTTAGTCACACATCTGTAACATTTAAGAAAATTTCCCTTCTCTGTTCTGGGGAAGTTCAACTCAAATGATGCGAGCTGGAGAGTTTGCAGTGCTGGTTTGGAGATTTTCTAAACATCCTAGAAGAGTGTTTCTTAACCAAAACCAGGAGATTCCTCGACAGGATCATCCTGATAGCTGCAGGACTGGTTAGAGACACAAAAACTGGTTACAGCCAGCACAGAGGTGACCCTGTTTCAATCGTGTGTGCTGGGCACAGACAGGAAAGCCAGAGCTGACAGTGGCTCCCTGTGCTTTTCAGTGTTGTGAGCCTGGAGGATTTTGAACAGAAAATGTGAGTGATATTTGGTAACTCCTTGTTTAAAGAAGCTCTGGCTTCTAGGAAATCTAGTAAACTCTCAGAACTGGGAATGAGAAAGTTATTCTGGCTGAAAAATGAGGCTGAGAGGAGAGTGAAAGTAGGTAAACTCCCAGAAAGAAGGAAGGGAAAGTGAATAATAATGAACATAAACCAGCCCTAAGCAGAAGGCTGTCAGGTGAAACCTGTGGCTAGCAGAGCTGAGGGCAACAGGGATGTGCTCTTTAGATATAAGCTCAAAGTAGTTGTCTAGACAGAATAGCAGACATGAAAAAAAGAATACATAAAAGGCAGACACTAAATATTTAATTTCTCTATTTTGGGGGAAAAAAAGGCTGAGTGAAATAGCCATGTAATACGATGATGTGGAATATCTTCTGCTCCAACTCAGGATGTTAAACAGCTGCTACTACAGCTAGAGGATTTTTTTGGTTTTTTTGATCAGCAACTCCCAATATTCAGTGCCTGAGAGTTTTAAAATCTATCCCAGGAGCGCCCCAGGCTGGCACAGAGTTTTCCAGAAGACTGGAGCAGTGTTGACTTTGAGCCAATGAATAAATGTTGATGAGGAGGATGACTTGCGTAATTATAAATCTGATTGTTTGATGTTGATTTTGTGGGGAAAAAAAAAAAAATAATGGAAGAGCTGATAAGGGACTTGATTAATAACAATTTAAGGAGAATAACTAATTACAATCAACATGAGTTAATGGAAAATAGATCTTATTAAATGAAATTGATATAATTTTTCAAGAATGTGATTATAGATTTGATTGATTTAGTACATTTCATCAACAGTGTTACGTTTGACTTCAGCGAGGCATTTAACTTAATGTTGTCTCATTTATTAGGAAGCTAAAACAATGTAAAATCAACACGGGCCGTGCTAAACGGATGAGAACCCTGGTGATAGGTTTAGACACATCCGAGGAGCCTCCCAAGCGGCCGCCTTTCTGTTCATCACTTTTAGCAAACGCTAGAAAATCAAAACTCATCACAGTCAAAGTTTGCTGATGAGATTTGGAGCTGGACCATGGCTGCCGTGTGGATGGGTCTCTGCCTCAGACCTGCGCTGTTCCTGAACCAGGGGGAAGTGAGTGAGCTCCAGCTGCTTTAACACAAAGCCACACTTCCAGGAACCAGGATTTCACCGCAGGGAGGAGGGATCCTCTTACACAGCACTGGAATCCTGATAAAACAATGGAGTGAAATATCTCTGGAGTAACACCTAATGGGACACTGCAGCTATTTCTGGTGCCTGTGACTCCGGAAGGATGGTGATGAACGGGAGAGGGCACATGGGAATGACTGAGGCATCACAAAACATGCCTTATAGTGACAGACTCAAGGACCCCAGTGTGCTTAGCTTAACAAAGGGAAGGTTAAGAGATGGCTTAATGACAATCCAGATGTATTCAGACAGGGTACAGGGATGCAGAAAGGGAGAGCCCTTCAATCTAACAGACAGAGCGATAAAAAGAGCTGGTGACTGGAAGCTGACGCTGTTAAATTCCATCTGGGAAGGGTGTTTGGAGAGAAATAACACCAGAACAACTTCCCTACACATGGTTTCATCGTCATTGGCCATTTCTAACTCATGCTGGCTTTTTTTCTTTTGGTTTTTTTAAGCCATAATCTTGATCCACCAAAGATCACTGTGAATCAACACAGGCACCCTCACTGCACGAATGGGATGGGCCTTTTTTGAGTTTTAATCTTCTTAATAATGAGTATTTAAGCCATCATCCTCAAGCACTGAGTGGAACCATTCCCTTTTCCCAGAGTTATTGTTCTGGCCTTGGTGGGCACTCACACAGACACCTCAGTGTTATTGGTACTTCATCTTTGCCAGTAGAGAGGCTGGAAAAGTCCTCTAAAACCCCATAAAACAAACCTGGCCTACATCCCCCTGCTATAAAAAAAAATCCAAAATACAGTACCAAAGAGAGCAGATCAAAGTACATGAAGAACTTGAATTCCAGTGGTTCAATAAAATCCTGCTGCTCCCCATCTGCTGCCATAGCTTGATGGACTTTTCAGGGAAATGATACATCCGTGTTCCTTAAGAGTTGCTAAAATTGTGAGTGGAAAAGGTGTAGTTTCATAACAGACTCATCCACACCCAGGAAAACACAGAATGAGAGAGTGCTGCAATCTTGGGGACTTTCTGCACGAGCTCCATCATGTCCCTGCTCTCTGGTTTGGAAGCTGCTGAAATTTCTGCTTCCATGGGAATTATTCAGCAGAAGTCCCAGCTACAGACCTTCAATCAGAAAACTCCAGGAGCCACACATGGACTTCTCCTGGGACTGGTCTGCAAGACCCAGCTGATGTCTCACTGTTCATCCAGATGTACTTGGGGACCAAACAGGTATAAATATATATACATACATAATTATTTTTTTTTTCTTTGGGTACTAGGCCATTATTTCTGTGTTTTAAGCTCAGAAAATGGTGTCATAAAAAAAGTTTTCCTTCCAAAGAAATACTGTGACTATAGAAGTGATTAGATAAGAACTGATATCCAAAACCTGGACAACTTAAGTTGTTTCATAATTGATTTCTATATATGGGACTTTATCTTCTGGTGAGGTCTTTACCTTTAAAAGCAGGTTTGTACCTTATAGAAAGGATAGAAAAGAGAGGTCATTTGTTATCTTATCTTCTAATGAGATCAGCAAAGAAAGACTTTTAAGGCCCTCCACAGCTTATTCATGATCTCAGTGTGGTTCTTCAATTGCAGAATCAATCCAGGTGTAAATTGGGATGCTGGGACCTTGTCTCCTCCCTTCTGCCCTCATCAAGGAGCATCTGGGACCGTGTCTGTGGGTCCTCAGTTGGACCCAGCTGGATTTATCTGTGGTGTGATCCAAGCCATTGCTGCTGTCCCCACTGCCTGTCACCTCTGCTGCTGGTACATTTGATTATTCAGATTATCAGTGGGTGGGGAGGAAGGATCAGGATGTTGCCTAACCCTGCTCCCCACACACACACACACACACACAGACACCTTTGTGCCTCCTGCTCAGGGCAGAGGCCACCACCAGAAATTGCTTCAGTAGTTTCAATTCAGTCTGCCAGAGCCCTTTGCTCCTAATGCCATTTAATCCAGTTCCTTCTTAGCCAGATTTTCACTGATATCAGGTTTTGGCCCAAGAACAGTGCAGATCCTTTTGAGCTGAACATCTTCAGCACAACACTTACATTTTGTCAGAAAAAAAGCCTGAACCAGCAGAATCTCTTTTAAAGCTAAGGCAGTATCATTACCATAGAGGCAAACACTAATTTAATGTGGTTCACAGTAACAACACACCATTTATTTAAATACTTCACCATTTAATTTATTCAGCATTTTATATTGAAGAGTATTTTCATTAGGATTCCTCTGCAAAACCGAAGAAGGCATTAAATCATTTAATATACTGACAACTCGCTTAATTTATTTAAGCACAGGAGTCTAATTCAAAAAAGCCAGACCTTACATAGAGCCCTGTCTTTACAGCCCTGGCATACAAGGGCCTATTAATTTCAGGGTAGTGTGTTACATGGATTTATTTTGAGATCCCAGTACATGCTCTCCCCTGGTCAGCAGCCTGCTGTGGGGCTGCACCTGCCAGAGCTGCCTTTAGGAATTCCTCCCAGTGCACACCAGTCCTGCTCCGTGCCTTTTGCCTCTGCAAATGCCAGTGAGCATCCAGCCTTTTGCATTTGTCAGCTGGCTGGGTTTGCTCCTTGATGTGACACAGAGTGACCAGCGTGACTGGAGCAGCAGAGGTCAGCAGGGAAACAGAGGCAAATCAGCAAGCACTGGGGTCATCAGTGATGTCTTCAGCTGAACTCATGGCATTCAGAGCACTTGGTGAAGTCTGGGGGATGCACTGAGATGTACCCCTGACTCGACAGACACAGAATTAACCAGGGGCTCTCAGTTCTGTGGTGAGACCCCTCCAGCCCCACCCTGAAGGTGCTGAGCAGCCTCAGGAGTTGTCACATCCATGCTCTCACACCCTGCCTGAAGCAAATCCTCCACTTGGTATTCTGGGTGCTCATCTCCTTGGGCAATCCAGCCCTTGTGGCTTATTACTGATGTCCCCAGATGTCCCATAACGAATGGCAGAGAGGAAAATTGTCACCTGTGACAAAGCTCTGGATGATATTGGGGTCCCCAGTGGCTCCCGGTTTGGCTGCTTTCCGAGATTGGTGCTGAAGCAGAACCTGGGAAACAATAGCACATTTTCAATAGGATGCACAGGGTGACATTAATAAACATTAGGGGGCTTGATATGATCAGGCAAAAGCAGCACAGCGAAATGAGGTACCAAAAGCAGGCTGGAGAGGAGGGGAAGGCACCTGAACAGGGTGTTTAATGACTCCCCCGGCTGGGAAATGCAGCAGAGGGCAAGGCTGGGAGACAAAACCTTTTAATGAATTCAACATGTGTGCACCCTTTGAAGGCCTAGCTCCCCATTCCCCAGTGGCGTTTGACCCACCTGAAGATATGGATCATACAGAAAATAATAACCAGTAAGTAATAATAATAATAGTAATAATAGGAAGAGCAGGACCTTCATCTCCAATTCATATTTATAATCCAGCAAATATCTCACCTAAAGCCACAAGATTTATGGGTTTGCATCTATAATTAATATCCTTCCTTAAGCAGGAAAGGGTATGTTTTCCTACAAATAAATCTGGTGCTCTAGACCTGGATTTTGAAGACTAATATTTAAATCCCTAGCAAGACACAGTTATTGATTGTATAGATGCATACAACAAAGACACACCACACACATTTATAGAGATAGCATTGTACAGCTATTTTAAAAATAAATAAAGCTTCTCTTTTAAATGCAATAGATGAGGCTTAATAAGAAAAAAAAAGGAGGAAGATGGGGCAGTCGACTCGGTGTCTGCTCCAAACTGTCCCTATTTCCCAAAGATTTCATTTGCATCAGGCCCCTTGCTAAAAGCAGGGCTCTTCCTGGGCGCCGAGGCACATAAAGGGCTTTGAGACAAAGGGAATTGATTTGGTTTTAGTGTTATGGGGAAAATAAACAGTTAGGCTGATATAACAGTAAAAGGGTCAAGCAGGGTCAGGGCTAATGAAGTGACTTATGGCAGGTTGGAATTAAAACACCCTTCCTTTTCTCCATCCTCCCCTCTAGGAGTGATCCCTGTGAATGCCCAAAATCACATCCCTGTGTGACAGCAAAGCACCAGCCAAGGGTCATTTGGGGCTGGGCACTGGACTTGCCTTGGCTGAAGGTTTCCATGCCCAGCATCACCTGCTGAGCCATGGAAAACTCCAACCAAAGCAAGTCCTGCCCTTCAGCTCCCCATCAGGGACCACAGTCACTGCATATAGTCAGGGAGGCTCAGTGGTGCTCCAAATCATCCCTCCAGAGCTGAACTGGTCACTGGTGGGTGGAGGATCTCTTTAAGGGTCTGTGTTGTAGGCTTGGAGCTTTGCAGCCTCAGGACTATGTTGCTGTCACACACTGGGTCAACACCAGCTTGCCCAGCTTCTGCTGTGCTCAGGAGATCTCCTCACTTTCTGAATATTCTCTACAACCAGATCCTGGTTTCAAAGGATTTATCTGTTGTTTTTTGTTGGTTTTGGGATTTTTTTTCCTCAGGGGTTTCTTTTCACTTTTGTGAGTTGTAATGAGCAAAGTGGGAATGTGCTGGGTAAGGAACCAAACATTTCTGCTGTCCTTTATCTCAAGAGTAAAGACATGAACAGAGCCCAGACACTTGTATTTATATTGTCCTAAGGTATTTAATTAATGGAGATTTTAGTTAGTCATGAATAAATAGCATTCATCAAAAATTAAAAAAAAGTCTTTTTGCACTCAATCATTTAAGGAACTCATCAGTGACTGCATGTGGGAGCCTCATTCAAACCTCACAGGGAAAGAGCTTCTTCTCCCCAGATTATGTGCTCCCAGAAGGGAGATTATACCCAGGGGGAAGGAGAAGGAAAAGGAAGAAATTGGCAATAACACTTGTGTGGTGCCACCAAGGGGTGGTGAGCCCCCAGGCAGGCTGGCTGCACCCTGCTTTGGGGACTCAGCTCCACCACCATGGGTTGGAGATGGTCCTTCCCCCAAATGTTACTTTCAAGTGTCACAAAGCTTGTGTGGAAAGAGGGAAAAGAAAAAGCAAAAGAAACCTTCTGGTGAGCACTGTGATCCTCCAAAACCTAGTGACCATGGAGAAGCTTTCCCTACAGACATGCTGTCCAATGCATGCCCTCATGGTTTTTACCTCTGTGAAGATTGTGGGCTGTGGGTGTCCAGACACTGCTCTGCAGCTCTGGAAGGGACAGGAATTCATGGCTGCTGCTCTTCAAGGCACAGGAGCTTGGGAAGCTGCAACCAGTGTGGGGTACTCAGCCAAGACAGAGCTTTGCTGCAACTTGGTTTTCATGATTTAGCATTCCTGCTGTAAATAATTGATACTAATGTAAGTGAGATAAGAGACAGACTGTCTGTGGGCTGGGAGGAAGTGGATCCTGGTGACATCCACCTGGAAATGTGCTTGCGGATTTGTCTGAAATAAAAACGTTGAGAAGCCAAACACGATGTCCAAGAGGTGGGGAGGGAGCAGGGATGGGAAGGGTAATCAGTGATCAGCTCCGTGCACTCTCATCTCCTGAAGAAAAAGCTACCACTAATAATTTCCTTAATAAGAGAATTCCTGCACTAACTAGCACTTCCTCACTCTCTGAGCATGGCTCTCACACTAGTCCATAAGCTGTGTTCCTGCATTGCCAGAGAGCTGGGTGGGTGTTAGCACAATTTAAGGAATTAAAATGTCATTAAGGGGGTGCGTGGAGCACACCCTTCCTTGTCGGACACCATGCCAGCAGGAAAATGCCAGTGAGCTCAGCATATCTGATGCCTTTGGCTTAGGTTATCTACAACCAGCTGAGTACCAGGAAGGAGCTCTCCTGAATCTCAGCTTTTGAAACCGGAGAAGGCAAAATTATATCTCTGGTCCTGTGAGGGCGGCCATGAGACAGGCGATGGAGACAATCCTGCTGGGTGGAGAAGGGGAGATTTCCCTGCTGGGAACCTTGGAATCCAGCACATCCCCAGGACCATTACACCATATCCATTTCTAAATCCTGATTTGGAGGCTGCTATTGGCATTTCACATCCTCTGAGGAGTCTGTGCCCGGCGGCAAACCGACATTCACTTCCCCCCGCATGACATAATGCCTGTTTTCATCCTGTCTAGGGGATATAAAAAAAAGATAATGTCAGCTTAAAAAAAAATGACATCACTATTGAACCACTTTACAGCTCTCTGCTTCTCTCTCTCTCCTGTGTCTCCATCTTCACATCCCACCTGTGTTACCTGTTGCTCATCAGCCCGAGGACCTTCCTGCAGCCACTGCACAAGGTACGTGTGCCTGATGGTTTTAACTTGCTGCAGGAGTCAAGTGCCAAAGTGAAAGGAATTTGCAGTGGCAACTCCTTCATTTTAAACTATTTTCTTTTGTAAGGAAGGTCCCTCATGTTCTCTGTCTCCCTACAGCAGTCAGATCGTACTCCTCTCCTGAAGGCCATGTCTTTGCACATCACTCTGGTAAGAGCATATTCAGGACTCTAAATTTGTTTTAAAATACACTTCCTAACCTAGAGATTTCCTGCAGAAAGGCAGAGGAAAAAAGCTTCTTTGGAAATGTTAGGAAGGAGCAGCATTGACTCATCAGTGATATGAATGGGGAAAGCCAGAGGGACCTTCTCATCTCTAATGTGATTTTATGATTCAGTGAATAATGCATATTAGCATAATACTAACTAAAAAAATCCATACTCATCATAGAATCACAGCTATCAACATTATCCTATTATTAATTATTAACATTTACACTATCAATCAGCCCCTGGCTGACTGATAGCTTAAAATCTTGCATAAAGATGGTTACAACAATAGCCACAGTACATCACGTAATGTGCTTCACAGTCGGGCTGTGATATCCTCATCTATAAAGCTTTTTACTAATGCACTTTACAACATATCTTACAGTACATAGATGAAGAATGTGGCTGCACCCAGTAATAATTCCATTAATTATGAATAAAGCATTTACAAATGACATCCTTATTTAAAATTAGTGATGAACACATTTTGGTTTAATGCAGATGCACTGTGTAATTTGTAATTGGATAAAAAGCAATGCTGGCAGCACGGGGTAGGGAAAAAGGGCCAAGATCTTATGATCTTTGCATCAGCAAGGAAAGGGGGGGAAAAAAACAGTGGAGAAAATGATTGACAAACAACAAAACATTGGCATAAAGCTGACCAAACTCCAAGGTGATGGTTGAAAGCAATGATTAAAGGTGCCCTGCAGAGCTGAAAGGGAAAAATCCTTACCCACTGACCTTGCACTGCAGTTGTGTTAATAAAACTCACTCCTATATTAATAAAGTCTATATTTTCATTGCTTTCTCTCATTTCAGTGTTTTCAGCTGGCTGGCAGCTCACCAAGACTCGTTAGCCACATACAGTTTGCCTTTGCAGTACCTTGGTACCGCTTTGTCCTGTAGGCTCTCGGAGATGGCAGAATATTTATTACATACAATATTTCACTGAGGCTACTTACGTCAAGAGGCTATAAATACATTACTCTTCCCAGTTTACTTAAGGGATAAAAAGTGAGTAGCTAAGTTTACAGAGCAGGCTCAGGCTCTATTAATGTGTGGTCTGTTCATTTTCATATAGATCTCAATTGTTTGAAATTATTTTCCAGATTAATCCTGTGAGTGATTCTTGCCTTGCTGATCATTTCCGAGCAATGCTGCTCGACTTGGGCAGTGGTCATATTCAGGTTATTACATGTATTATGGAAGAAAGGTTAATTTAAACTGTGAATATTTATGTGGTCATAGTTTTCTACTGAGAGCCTTGTGCCAAGAACTTCTTATACTGAGGTTCAACTATTTCAATGTGTCACACTCAGGGATGCAAAAATCCCAGCAGCTCACCTCTGGCCACACTGGTATGGGAACAAGAGCTTTGGTGGTCAGGAGAAAGTCAGAAAACTCCTTTTAATTTCTTTTTCCCTGAATTTCCCCATTGTTTACAGCAGTCTGGATCAACAAGATGCCTGGATAATGCACAGGCCATGGTGTCATGTGTCTGTTAGCACGGAGCCAGAGCTGTGCATGGTGCTGTGTGCTGAGGCTCCACAGACTCAGAGAGTCAGAGAGAGACCTGGATCCATCACATAAAGTTAAGGGGGAAAATTGCCTCGGGAGGGATCTAGTTTTGGGTTCAGGCAGATCTTTCTGCATTCTTTCCAAGGAGATGAGATTGCAAGCCAGAGCTAAGCTAGTCAGGAATTCTGTCTGAATTATTTTCACATTCTCTTTTCATGTCCTGTCCATGGGTGATACCTAGTGCAATGCATGACACCTGACATGGCCCTTTTCCCATATTTTCAAGTTAATAAATGTAGTAAAAAATAATATACAGTGTTTATTGCCAGGACTGTCAGGGAGGACACTGCATTCCCCCTCTCCTCCAAACCCAGGGAGTGTAGGAGAGGCTGCTGTAATTACAGGTCTCCTTGTGCAAGGCTGCTTTGAAATTCCCAATATTTCTCCAAACCACCAGCAAGTTGGTTTTCAGAGCTGCCTGACAGAGAATTTATTTATTAAGGTCTTGGCTGTTTGCAGCAGTGGCTGGGCAGCAGCAGTTCCGCAGAGTTATCAAAAATCTATTTCCTTGCAGAGTCACAAGTAAAATATCAAACCCCCTTTGAAAAGCCAAGTGCAACATTTACATTTTAATCTCCCCAAACACTTTCGTTTCTGACAAACTGGGTTTTTTGGTCTGTGTGTTATGGAGAGGAGAGGCAGTGGGGCTGGAGGAGGAGGGTTTATAGCCCTGGGAGGAAGCGTGGGCTGCTTTGAGCGTGTGACACCGCTGGAGTGACACGGTGACCTCCCGTGCACGGGGACTGCAAGAACTGTCACCCTTCAGCACTGCTGGGGCCAGGTGAGAAAAAAAGCAGCCTGTCCCCAAAATCCAGCAGTGTAGGGCATCAAACACAGAGCTGGGTTAGCAACCACATGTGCACATGTAGAAAAGGAGGAGCACCAGCCCTGTGCTGGGCACAGCCTCTCCTGGCTACCAACAGCCGGCATGGGCGGTCAGTGGCCACTGCAGCCACTGATCTATAGGGGCAAAAGCCTTTATTTCACTGTCTGTTCACACCTCTGCCTGGGGTTGACTGGGCTGAAGTGGAGCAGCTGGCTGGACCCCAGCTCTACAGTTTGTGGTCTGGCAACAAAAGCCACTCTGCTTTCCCTTGCTGTCAGCGGGGCTGAGGTCCTGCGCTGCCTCTGTGGAGTCGCTGCAGCAAGCCATGAATTATGGATGAAATGAAAAATCCCAGCCCGGTGCACAGAGGGAATATGCAAAGTGCAGAGCGATCACCTTTGTGTGTGAGCCTTGCTTTGTGCCACCTTCACATGCACGAGGCCCAAAACACTCCGCTCTGCTTCAGCTGCGACTCCCTCGGCCCACAGGGCCCAGGATTCCCTCCTCCTGAGGGATCTGCTTCTGAAATGATGTTCATTAATTTGAAAAGCATGTCCTGGTGCTTTGTGGGATGTTCCTGGGAGCTACTGAGGGTGCTGTGTGGATGAGCTGTGTAGAGCTCACACGCAGAGGTGCCGGCATGGGCAGGACGGGTGTCTGGGACAGGCTGGCCCTGGGCAAATCTGCCATGGTGCCATGGGCAACTCCTGCACATCCACTGCAGGAGAGCTCCTGAGCACATGAACACACATTTGCAAGTGAGGTGATGCAGGAGTTCCCACCCAGGCACGGCTTTTCCACACACAGAGGAGCCCTCAGGGGATCTGCAGAGGTGACAGTTCCCACCAGAGCTACCTTTGCTTGAAGCAAAGCGTCGGAAAAGCACTTGACAGGCTCTGACTTCAAGACTCTGTGATTTGGGGAAGTCTCTCTACTCCTAACTTCTCCTTCAGAGAGAAGATGCCTTTCAGGAGGCATTTTTAAAATGTCTTTTAATTTTTAAATGCTTTAGCTCCTCCTTTGCCAATCCAGCTCTCTGCTTTTGTGTACCATCTAATAATGTGCTTCCACACAGCCATTTCTGAGTGTGCAATATCAACATCTGGGCTAAAATCAAGCAGAAATTTTTCCCTGAAGCAAAATTTTGCTCTGTATTATTGTTACTTTTTTTTTTTTCCTATTTAATGCTTTGCTTGTCATGGGGCCTCTTCAGCCTCTTATTTTCAGGAAATGAAGGTTCTCTGCCTCTCGCTCCTTGTCAAAGACACCCTGGCAGGCGAGAGCAGCATCACCCTTGTCCCACCTCCTAAAAGCATTTTACTGAGTGCTCACTAAAACTGTGCTGCAGTAAAGCACCCCACTGAACTGGGTGCCTGATATGCAGCAGGTTGGCAGAATTAATTTATTGGTGTTAGTACAGCCTTTTGAACTTCTCCTGTTATGTAGGTGTCAATGATGATAATAAGAATAAAAATATTATTTTATTATTATTTGTATTGTTATTCTGACTTTCCATCATAGCCAATGATGAACATTCCCCTGTGTAGGTATTTAAGCTATCCTGTGGGAGATGCTTTGTTCTTAGTTTTGATTATTTTAAGAAGTCCTTTAGCACATCAAATAATTTCCCTAGGCAAGGATTTATAGGAAGGTCTTGAGAGCTGTCAGAATAATGTTTTTCCAGCAGTGAAAACTTAACCTCCTCTTTGATTTTCATTTCTGTTTTGTCCTGGGTGTAGCTGCAGCGAGTGCTTGGTCACAGCCATCAGGATGGAGGAGATGTGTTGTCAGTTGTTTTATTTTTGATCCCATTTGAATGTGTCAATCAAGTGCCTCGAATCAAAGAAAGTGAGAAGGAGCCTTTAACTGTTGTGATTGAAAACTTCAGACTTACCTTTTTTTTCTTATTTTTATGGACACTAAGTAAATGGTTGGCAGGTTCTTGTGAATCATAACATTTCTAAATATATCAAAGAGGCTCTTTGCCAAGCTGCTGGAGAAGGTGGTGTCTATTCCTATTGACTCCTTTCTCCCCTTCAGATTACTTTTGCATTTAATAATTTCAAATCATAACACAAAAAATCAGAGACTCTTAACTAGGCTGGCTAAGGCTGTGATTAATGAAAGTGTAATTCAAGCTCCTGTAGAGCCATTAGAAAACAGTTAGCTAATTAGTATAATCAAAGAGGTGGAAATAATTATGAGACCATAAAATAGAGGTAACCTAATAACAACATTTTCCTCTGACCCAGAACTGGTGAGAAAAGGATGGTTTGTTAGGTTAGGAAGGCAGAGGAGTGAGGATGGAATGTTCTGTGAGTAATCACTGTCAGGGAGGTCTCAGAGCACAGACAAGTAGAACAGAGCAGATTTTACACCAACATAATCCAGACTGCAGCAGAATCCTCTGGCAATGGTGCTTCACACCTCTGCATCCCTCTCCCATCTTATGCACTGCCACAATTCAGTGACAGACAATCAAAACACAGTGAGGCAGGAACTGGCTGCCTTGCTCTTTCTGACTTTGTTCCTTTTCTTCTTTCCCAGGTTATTAGCAAATATAATATTAAAACCAACTTCACCTTGCAGTGCCTGAGTCGACCAGGTTTGGTTTCAGGAAAAGGAGAATTCAAGGTGTTTAAGAAGAAAATCCTGTTAGAGGATTCCCTGTATTTATAGAGTTCCTCATGTATTTATGTATGTTATTCACTACAGTTTCACAGGACTCTACAGCTGGTTGAAACATCTCATGCTAAGAGGGAAGAGTCTTTCTGGGCAGAGGAGAACGGTGCAGTTCTTGGTGGTGAGGGTGGCAGTCACTTCCAGAGCTGCTCACAGGAGATGGGTGCCAAGCAGATGTGTCTCCCCTTCAACCCTCCTCTGCTGCCTTTGCCCCCAGGGCAGCACCATGCAGGACTGCCAGGCCAATGAGAGATGTGGGACAGTGTGATGGGCTGGATCTCACTCCTGGGGTTCGAAGTGACCTACCCCTGGCTGCTGGATGAAACAGGCAATAAAAATTCCTAACCTGTAATTTTCCAGCTGGAGTGGGTGACCACCATGACCATCTCCATTGGTTCTTAGCAGTTCTGCCACGGTTTGTGTGTGTTTCGTTTGACCTGGGTCTAATGAGCACAGAAGAGGAGCTGCAGACACACAATCAAGGCTCAGCCGCCGAGGCTGATGAGTCTGCCGAGACTGCTAAGTGGGTCTTCATTAGCGATTCACATGAGAGGAGCAACCCTTATTTATTCTTCTTTCCTAGGTGAATCTATTTTTGAATATCTTTTGTAGTGATCTTGTCTGGGGAGGGTGGTGGGGAGATTGGATGGAGAGCACCACTACTGCTGGTTAACTGGATTATTGTCCTGGAAAAACAGGCTGTGACACCAAGCTGGCAGCAAGCTGCAAAGAAGAAACAATGTGATGCCATTTAGAGAAGGAAGAAATCATTTTCCCCAGTGACATCTCTGGTGAGAGGCAGAACTTTATCTTCTCTTTGCAGCTCAAATGAAGCATCACAGCAGTAGCATTAACTGTGCTTCCACGTTTCCAGCTTGCCTTTTCATTAACTTTTTTGTTTGTTTTGCTTTTGTTTTTGTTTTTTTTTTCTGTAGCAGGGAGCACACTTTCCAGGGAGGGTTTGTGGGTGAGTCACTGGAGCTGCAAGGCCAGGATGTCCCAGGTTGGTCCCCAGGCTGTGGCACATGTGCTGCTATTGCAGCCAAATGGATGAGCCTGGTGGTCTGCAGGGTAGAAGAGAAGCCTGATTTATGTCCACCTTTCTGGCAGAGAGGGGATTTTGGAGCAGCAGGTCACAGTGAGCCTTGCTCCAGGTGTGCTTTCATCCCCCCAGCTCAGACATGTGGATCACCTGGGATGTCCTGGGACATCCTGAAGGACACCGAGCGGCAGTGCTTGACCTCCGGCAGCACCAGTGGCTCCACGTTTCATGTGAACGAGCCCCTTTTCCACACTGGGCACTTAAACGCTCTCCTTTAAGCTTTTCCTCGGGCAGGGCTGGGCCGGTGGGGTGCGGATCCTGCCGCCCTCACCTGCCTGTGGCGAAGGCTGCCCTCTCCCGACGCCGGGATCCGAGGGATGCGGTGCCTGAGCCGGGCCAGCATCCCCCGGCAGCGCCCACCCTGCTCCCCGCGGCACCGTGCCCAGCCCAGCCCGAGGAAAAGCTGCCAGCCCTCAGCCATCAGCACAGAGCAGCACCCAGATGGCCTCGGGCATCCCCCGAGCTGCCCAGCACCGCCTGCCTCCGATGCTGGATCCAACCTGCATCCCCCTCTGGCACCATGGGGATGCTGCTTGAGGAACCTCCTGCTGAATCGCTTTTTACCCATCCCAGCCCTTCCAAACATGCTCGGTACCTTTTTCCTTTTTGTTTCGTTTTTATAATCTGGTAGTGTAGGTGTGAATCCCGTACTCCTCTGAGTTATCTTTCCCCAGCTGAGTCTGTTTGTGCTGCAGACTGTGTGGGTGACACGCTCGGGAGAGCCACGTTTAGCAGCACATTGCTCCAGGAAAGTGTTTTTATATGAACAGAGATGTGAGACAAACTCTTGCACCTCTGGGGTTGGCAAACTGCTGATCCATGAGAGATGAGTTTTTTTCCCCCCCTTGTGATTTTGACCTTACTTGCTGAAAGTGAAACATCACCCAGCCTTCCAGGAAATACCACAAATCTTCTATCTGATATAAGAACATAAATCTTCTGTAAGGGTTCATCCATTCTGTATCTCAGGCCTCTGGAACTGAGGTGTGGACACTGGAGTGGGAATCTCAGCCTCCTGGACCCAGGGCTGCTGCATCTGAACCCCTGCACCTCCCCAGCCTGGGGAAAAACAACCCCATGGGGTTGGCCCTTACTGAGCTGGTTCTGCACCAGTACCTCATGGAAAAAGGGAGGGATTTGCCTGAATCACCTTGAGCCTTTTACATTTTTGTGGGAGACATGAAACTCTTCCCCTCCAGCTCTGTGTCTGGCTGAAATAAAACACAGCCTAGAGCAACCCACCTGTGCATGCTTCAGCCTCCCCATATCACCTCCTGGGAGAGGCTCTGAGTGTGGGGCTCTGCACCCCACGCTCAGCAGGGCAGCCCCAGCTCACTCCTGCAAGAACACATTTCCTGAGAGGATGCCTGCGGGTCCCTGACCTTGTTTCTGCACAAGCCTTTGTGCCCCCACCCTGCTTTTTGGGGGACCACAGAGGCCTTTCTGAGAAGGCAGTGGAGCAGCTGTGGGGTTATTTGACCAGAAGATGTTATTTGTGGGAAGACGTGGCTGCAAAATTTTCCACCCCCCACACCCTCCACGACTGATTTAGGACGTTCTTTTGCTCAATAACTTCGTGCTTTTACTTTTGCTTCCCCTGGGCTGTATCCTTCAGTGTGCAAACCTCTTTGCTTCATGGTTCTTCCCCAGAGAAGGAGCATCCCAAACCCCAGTGGACCTGGGGAAGGCTCGGAGCCACCTCTGCACTTTGCTGTGTGTCCCTCTGCATCAGCTCGGTGACATTCCCAACCCGCATTGTGCTGAGGATCATGGCTTTGACTGAGCCCACACTGATCCCCCTCCAAAAGCTTCAGAAAGTGAAAGTTTCCTTTTTTCTGCCTGGGCCACTTTTCCTTGTTTTACCACTAGATGGGAGAGTGAGACTGGGCTAACTCAGCTGCTCCCCTCCTTACCCCGGCAGGAATTCCGAGGGGAGAAGAGAGCTGACAGATGCCCGAAAGTCATCCCGCAAATCCTCCCACCCCAGGAAGGGATCGGGTAACTCCCAAAACGTCTGGTTGTTGCTTAACCCCAAAAGTGCACAGTCGAGGGGCTCTAAAGCTTTCCTGGTGCTTTCCCGAAATACCAGGAGCCCCGTGGATCCCACTCTGCCCTCATGGAAGGGGGATTCACTTACACAACGATTGGATATATTCTCGTATTTTGGATATATTGGATATATTGGATATATACCTCATATTTTTCCTCAAATCCACCTGTCCTAGAGCAGAGGGAGATAGGGGCAGCACTTGCAATTCACTCCTCTCATCCATACCCCAAATCCTGCATCCCAGGAATCCAGGTGACCCTAAAAATTGTATGGAGAGGTTAAAAAGTCACAGAATCACAGAATAATTAGGGCTGGAAGTGACTTTTGGAGATCATCTAGTCCAACACCCACCAGATAAATATAAATAAAGCACCATTTTCTCCTCCTTTCCATCTACAGAATTTTCTTTCTCCTGTAGGATTCTTGTGTAAGGATCCACCCAGTGATATCATTTTCCTGCAGAAAATGAAACTGGGCTGTTGCAATGTTTGCATGTGCAGGAGGAGAATTCATGCCTTGGTCTGGCACAGCTCACCCTGGGAGCTGCTGTGGGTGAGGGAGGGGACAGCCCCTGGCCCATTAATGTCTTAGTAAATTTGCTTTAACTGCAGCACTTCCCAGCTCCTGAGACTGCCCAAGGTTTTGCTGAGACTGGGTTTATTTGGGAATTATATAGCTGCAGAAGCAGTTTCTCAACCCAATCAGATTGTCCAGTTGGACTACTTTTATTATTGTTAGGTTTGGGGCTTTGAAAAGGAACATTTTGCTTCCTGAGATTTCACAGATTTTGCAAGAAACCTCACAGCAGACAAATTTTCCGACTGCCTGTGTGACTACACCAGAAGATGTAATCCCTGTAAAGTGGAAATTATGTTTTTGCAGGGCTTTTCCCACTGCCCAACCTTCAAAATTTGCAAGTTCTTCAGAGAAGTGACTCATCTTATGTGTTTAATTCCTGGTACAGTTAGGCAAGGAGATGAAATAATTCTAATAACTTCCCTAACTACAGTACCCTTGTTGCCTTCATTGGGGTCTCCTGGCTTTGCCACCACAGGAAACATCTGACATTATCCTGCTAGACAGAAAGAACAGCTTCTTTAGAAGAAAAAGTCTGATTTTTTACTGGCTCTATCTACTCTTATTTCCCATAAGCAACAGCTGTCCCACCCTGGATGTGCAATGAGGCCACTGAGTCACCATGGAGTGACCAGCTCATTTACCTGGCAGGGGAAGACCAAAAATCCCCTCCATTAAAAAGAAGAGAGATCTTCCTTCAGTTAATAAGCAGAGATGAAAAAAGAAAAAAAAAAATAAAGAAGAAAAAAAATAAAACAAACCAGAAAAAATAAAGAAGAGGGTCCAGAGTTGGGTTTTTAAAATCAGCCAGAGCTAGAGTGATCAAAACCTTATATGAGATAGTGTTAGAATCAGCCTCGTGATTTCTTCTCCATATTTACAGGGATAATATTTTTCCAAAGTTCAAAGTCTTCCTCTGCAGGAAGCATGTGATGTGCTTTGCAGTCACACCATATTTTGGTGCTATGAACAATTAAAAAAATCAATTTCTGGAGCGATATTTTCTATGTTTATAATCTCTGAACTAATTACAGGGCTGGAAAATCGATAGCTATCTGGAAATCTTTCCAATACAGCCAACTAAGCATGCTACAGATCATGCTGGAATATATTCCTCCCAAACACAGGCTGCTCCTGACCATCTCCCAGATCCCACGGGCAGATATACCACTGTCAATAAACCTCTGGAACTCATTGCCCTGCAGTGGCAGCATTTACCAAAATCTGCAGAGGGCACGGGGCTGAGAAAATTGCTGAGAGCTGGAGCAATGCTTGTGGCACCATTTTAAGCTCATGACAAAAAAAAAAGTTGAAAGACTGAGTTAGTTCAACAGGAACCTAAAAAACGAGTGTGAAATAAAGCAATTATAAGTCCATGTCTTAGTTATAATGTTGTTTTTTCATCAGGCTTTATTAAAATAAAAAGTAGAACCTTTGGTGACTGGAAATAATTGGCAGTTTGATGGTGATTACACTTGAGAAACACATGTAAAGAGGAAGGGTGTTGCTCTGAGGAACAGATCTCCTCTTGCTGCACAAACACACCGTGTTGACTGTGGCAGATCAGCTGGAACCGGAGTTCAAACCCTTGTGCTGGTGCTCTCCACACTTCCCACACACTGCAGGCATTGCCAGGATCCCCTCCCCCAGATGCTGCCCTGTGAGAGCTCCGTGTGCCCTTCCTTGCTGTGCTGGAGTTTGTGCTGCTGCTGGACTAAAATATGTGCTGGAATAAATGTGCTGGAATAAATATTCCCACTGGACACGGTGCCAACAGCACAGCGAGTGGATAAGGGGCACAGACCAGTGCAGGGATTTTCCCCACATTGCCATTTGCACTCCTGCTTGGTACAAGAATGTGATGAATTCTGAGCTGTCACAATGCCACAAAGTATTTGCTCTGATTTTATGTGTTTTTCTCTGATTTTTCTTCATAGCTTTTTACATCCAGTGAACTGAACAGAGGAAAAGCAGGACTGGGGCACATCTCTGCCCTCACTGCAGGCCCAAGCTGGGGGATTCCCACAGCTCCCCAAGAGATGATCCTCATCCTGGATTCCCCCAGCTCCCCAAGGGATGATCCTCATCCTGGATTCCCCCAGCTCCCCAAGGGGTGATCCTCATCCTGCAGTGGAGCTTTGGGTCTAGCAGCCCATGGAGGTAAAGTGCAGCATTTGCCCTGTCCTAGCCCTCATCTCAGTAGACAGGCAATGATTTATAGTCACTCCTAAATAAGAACTTGTCAGGCTGGTTATGCTCAAAGAATTTAAATTCTGGCTGAACACAATGCATGCAATGATCTGGATTGTAAATATTGTTATTATTAATTTCTGATTGCACTTCTGTAGCACTCTCACGTGCAGCTGAGGAGCTCCTGTGCACACTGGGACAGAGGAAAGAGCCCATGAGCTGCTGACAGCCTGCCCAGAACACACCAGTGGTGTGGCTTTGCTAGCCTGGGCTGCTTTCTGCCAAAAAGCACAGGTTACAAAACACTGTGTTTATCATCACCACACTGAAAATTTCCCTTTTAAGGCTGAAAGGTTCTTGGTGGGGATGTGGAGCTGCCGGGTGCCACGCACTGCTCAGACTCTGCAGGGACACACCTACAGCTGCTGCACTCGGCTTCAGCTGCTTTTCCATTCAGATGATGGTGTCTTTGGACTCTGCTATCATTCTTGACATTTTAATGTCATATTTCCTTCAAATAAAACTCAGCTGGAGTGTGAGACTCATTTCTGTTTCTCTCTTAGGAAAGGAAGGCTGCGGTGTCTGCACATCACCTAAGGGGAATGACCTGAGGAAGAAGAGCTCAGACCCTTCAGAAATCTTTCAAAGAGAAGCTTCAGCACTCCCTTATCTCTTTTAAAATGAACACATCATACTTTGCACATGTTGAGCAACAAATTTCCTAACCCAGCTTGCCAATAGCCCACACGGCCAGTGGGGCAGTGCCATTGTTTTAGAAAGAGGGTGAGAACAGCACACTCACTCCCCTGGCCAGTGACAACCAGCACCTCAGGGACACCCTGGACTAGAGGTTTGCACAGAGAATATGGGGTTTAACAGCCACCAGAGCCTGTGTCACCCATGAATTTGTATAATTCTTCCTTAAACACAGTTACACTTTCGGCTCTGTGATGCCCCTGACACCAGTTGCTGTTGTTTAGTCAGCAGCTACTTTACACCTCCTTCCTCACCCTTTTCATTTACAGGAACCTTTGCTTTTGTAATAATGCAGGCAGCTCACAGAGCTGAGCAGAACAGATTCTGATGGTCCAGTTTGCAAAGACAACAGAGTCCCACAACAGGATAACACAAAGTCTGTTAAAAATCCTAGGGGGAGAATTTTCAGAAGTGCTTTTCTCACTGCAAGCCAGCACCAGCAGTCTTGAAAAATTCCATTTTTATTTGCTATTTATTATATGTTTCCTGTGAATAAATTTCTGGCTCAAATTAGACTTATAATAAAACTCTAAAAAAATCTGCTTTTGGGAAAAAAAAAACCCACCACAGATCTATTCTTCCTTCCTGGAGATTTGCTGCCTGTTCTGCAACAGGAGATGTGTACCATGGAAGTATTTATAACAGCAGTATTAGGAAATGATCATTTGGGCACCAGAAATCCATATGAGATATTATGGCTTTAAATAAATTGTTTATTGCTATGTTAATCTAATCTTGTAAATACATGCACACTTAACTATATTAAAAATGTATTTCACATGATGAATAAATAACTCCCCTATTTTGCCTTGTCAGCTCTGTGGGTCTGGGAAAAACAAGATTTGATGGGCATTGAAAAAGTTGATGTCTGCACAGATTTAGCCAAAAGATTGTCAGGATCATCTCATGGCCCACGTGGCTCACAGGACTGAACTTGAAGAAACCTCTTTCAACATCTGCTCATGACAGAGCGATTCCAGCTCCAGGAGTGCCTCCAGCCAGTGACTTCCCTTCCGTGGCATTGAATTTGCATTCATTAAACCCAAAGTTTTAATGATTTATGGAGATTTATAAAAAATGGCAGCCCAGAGCTGCTGACACTCCCAAAGCTTCTGACAGGAGTAGAACACATCATAAATCCATCCTGGTGTGAAATATTGAATGAAAACCGGTGCAGGCATATCTGCAAGTGTTAACATGACCCATAAAATCAGGGATTCAGGCTAACTAAAATTATCAGTACCCCAAACCTGAGGGGATAACATATATAATAACAATAGCATAATAATTATAATGTTAGTAATAACACTACTAAGAGAGTTACCAGTCTCCTTGACATTGCTCATTATTGTCACTGCCTGGATAATTCTCAGCTCCAAGGATGGACAGAGGCACACACAGCCCCATGTTTTGAGAAACAACCTCTGTGCTTTGGGAAACAAAAAGGGATAGGATTTCTCCTATCCCTTAAACAGCTACCAAGATCTTTGGGATAAGCCTTTGGGAAGGCTCTGGAGGAGCTTTCTGCCACTCACACAGCAAGGTGTGCATTGGCTCATGCTGAGCCCCAGGGTTTGAAAAACTGGAGCTTAAACAAGCATGCCCCTGGGACAAACTCCTTTTTATTTACAAGCAGAGATGACAAGGCTGATTTGCAGTGCCTGCCCAGAACCTCTTAAAGATTTTAGGAGGAAACAGACTTCTTCCAGGTGACCTCTGTCCTTCCTTGCCACACCTTCCCCCTTGGAGACCTTATCATAGTTGCTATTAGCTCATGTAAATCCACAACACAAGCTCCTTATCTTTACATCTCCCTCACCCAAGAGGGGGCTGAGGAGCAGGATGCATCCCCTGCAGCCAGAGCCAATGATTCACTCAGCTCTGCACCCTGGAACAGGAAGCGTGGGGGGATTCCCCAGCTCGGATGCCTTTGACGCACTGCTTCACCTTTGCACATCTGTTGTCCTTTCCACCCTGTTTATTTAGAATAAAAAGGGTTGGAACCAGAGCCTTATTCATCAGTGACTGCACAGAACCAGCCAAAACAATAGCCCAGCTTTGTTGTGCAGAAAATGATTTGTATATGATAGAGCAGTATCAGTTTGTATACATGGAGCAAATGTTTCCCGGTTTTCCTGGCCACAGCCTGTTGTAAACAACAGGCTCTCCTGCACTTCATTTTACTTTAAAAGCACATTCAACAGCTCCCAATTTAACCAAACCCCACAATAACCTCATCTACCCCCAGCTCCAAGGGAAGCAGGGATGGCACAAAGAGGCAGTGCCTTCCATCTCCGCTTTGGAGCCACAGAGGATGAGGAAGAGGCAGTGATGTGAACAGCACATCACCACAGCCCAAGCTGAGCCTTGATGAGCTGCTGGGTCTGCTCCTGCCTCAGCCTCTGCCCCAGCTCTTGGTTCCTCGTGTGTCCCTGAGCTCTGGCAGCAGCTGTGGTGCCACGTTGCTGTCCCTGCACTGCGCAGAGAGGGGATGGCAGCTGGATGGCAGATGTCTGCCCACGTCTTTGCCCTCCTCTCTGCCTCCTGCAGCGTTAGCTGGGCTTTTCCATTAGCCAGGTTATCCTGTGCACTCTGGGAAATGGAGCACTGATTGCACTTCAGGAGCTAAACATGCAGGGCCTGAATTATTTATCTGTGAGCCTGCAGAAACGAGCCAAATCCCCAAGTGATGTGGAACGGCTCTCAGAACACAAAAGGGGGTGCAGAGGCTGCACGGGTGGGCATGAGGGGCTGCACGGTCAGAGCCACATCCCATCTGCTGGGACCCTTCCTGCCCGGCTGGAGCGTGGACTGGAGGGTGTGGAGTGCTCTGGTGTGGGTTCTGATCCAGAGACTCTTCTGTGAAACTGCTCAAGAGCCACCTCTGCGCCTCAAACCAACCACTGTGACGGCGAGACCCCAAAAAGCAAAGAAAAACGCCCAAACAAATGTGTGAATGCAAATGCGGGAGGTTTGGGGTGTCCCACAGCTTTTCCGCTCAGCCCCCTCAACTCTGGAGGGCTTGTGCATCCTCTGCAATCATTAACTCAGCCGTGCCCAGCCCGACAGCGCCCGGCACGGTACCAGATAGTGCTCCGATAGCCGTGTTTGTATCTCGGGTTCGATAATGCACCTGCTCCTCCACTTCCCTTCTTCCTGAGCCAGCTCAGCTCCAGCGGCAGCTGGAGGAAAGACCAAAGTCCTGTCGCTGCTCTCTGCCACCCCAGACGCGGATGCAGCTCCTCCAGCACTGTTTTCCCCTCGGTCTGGCGCAGGGATGTGTCCCCGAATGTCTCCGTGAGCCTGCCGGGGGTGCAGGGGGGCTGAGATACCCCGGACGAGGGTGGGCAGCCCGAGCCCGGGGGCTGCAGGTGCGCAGGGCCGGGAAACAGGGCGGGTTTGGTGCGATGCCGAACCCCTTACCCCTATTCCTACCCCTCCTCTCGCCTTACCCCCCTTCTTCTCGCTCCACCATCCCTCCCCCATTTTTCCTGCCCCCATACGCACACAGGACCCTCTCCCTGCCCATCCTCTCCCGCTCCCCAGCTCCCATCCCCGTCCCTCCCTTTGCCCGCATCCTCTGCCTTTCCCCGCTTTCACTTCGGCCTCAGTTTCCCCCCATTGGCCCGGCCGGCGGCGGCGTCCCCGACGATTGGAGGAGGTGT